TGAATCTTCATATGAGATGGCTACAAATAGATCTCAATTGAACAAATTATTGGACCTTGGCAGTTCATGCCATATTTTGTTTCTGCCACTGCTAAACACTGACAACGCTATTGAATTTTTTTTTTAGCTAGTTCTATATTTGCTCTGCCATGAACTCAGTTCTGTTTCAAGTCCCAACTCAGTTCAGTTGTCAACTCAAACCATCATATTATCTCCAGTGGCATTTTTTGCCCAGATTGTCTTCTAGCTCAGCCTTTCAGGGACAAGCAGTTTTTGGTTTTCTATTACGCTTACCGTAGACGCGGACTGGATTCTTTTATCAGTGATAGCAGCATGGCACGGTCAAGCATTCCATCCTAGATCGGTTCGCTTAAAAATTCCAGAGAGGATCAGTGGTTTGGGGGCTTTGGGGCACTGCAGTTTATATTTTGATCTTCAAACGCACCCAGTCTCCTCTCTTGATTTTCATTCTTCCCTTGAAAAAATTGATGACATTATTTACAAGAATAAGATTTTATACTGTTGCAAAGATATCACAAAATTAATATAATTTTAATTTTAATTTTACGCCAAAGATTTATCTCACAATACATTAAATTGATTTAATAACCCAAGGGAGAGGAATTTACTATAGCTTTTTAGTGGATGTTATTGTATCTAGTGTTTTTTAAAATATTTTTGTTTATATTAAAATTTATTTTTTACATCGTCATAAATATTAATTTAAAAAAAATATTTCTAAAATATAAAAACAAATAAATTTTTATGTCAAACAACGGACTACAGATACAGCTCTAATAAAAATGAGCTCGACTCAAGCAACTGACCGTTGGAAGCTTTCACCGTACGCGTTAATAAATAAAAGAACTCCAAAACCCCAAAAAACCCTTTTCTCTACCAACTCCGCTCCTATTCATCCCCTACCCAAATTCGACCGTTGCAAATCTTCTTCCACGGAAACGAACCCTGAAACAAAAACCCTCCATTGAGAAGCCCTCTCTTTCCTTCCTCAGGGAGAGGCCTTTTCAATAATCTTCACCGCTCATCAACAAAATCAAAATCAAAAGACTACCATAGCTCAAGATTATCGAAAACATCAAGCAAATATGGATTCTACACCGAGAAGAAAGAGTGGCCTCAACCTCCCATCTGGGATGAATGAGACTTCTTTAAGACTGGAGACCTTTTCTTCTTCAAGTTCTTTTAGAGGAGTCACATGCATATCATCACCAAGAGCAATATCAAGCTTATCTTCACCCTCAAAAACCTCTTCTTGTAGTGATAGATTCATACCTTGCAGATCATCTTCAAGGCTACAAACTTTTGGACTCATAGAGAAAGGATCTCCTGTTAAAGAAGGAGGCAACGAGGCGTATGCAAGGTTGTTGAAATCTGAGCTTTTTGGGTCTGATTTTGGTTCCTTTTCTTCTCCTGCAGGTGGTCAAGGAGGGCTGGGTAGTCCTAGCAAGAATATGTTGAGGTTCAAGACTGATCATTCAGGCCCTAATTCGCCGTATTCTCCTTCAATCTTGGGACACGATAGTGGGATTTCTAGCGAGTCTTCTACTACTCCTAAGCCACAAAGAAAAGTCCCTAAGACACCCCATAAGGTAAGTAGAGAGTTTTTTTTTATAAAATTTTTCCAGTTTTTGTTTGGCTTTTCAGAGAATCGTGGATAAAGAAGATTGTTTTGAACCCCTTTTGTTTTAATTGGTTTCTATAAAAAATATTGAAGATTCAGTCCAAGAAATGGTAAATCATCGAAGGTTAATTTTGGTACAGGTTTTGGATGCCCCATCACTTCAAGATGACTTTTATTTGAATCTTGTGGATTGGTCCTCACAGAATGTACTCGCAGTTGGGCTGGGAACTTGTGTCTATTTATGGACTGCATCAAATAGTAAAGTAAGTTTGAGATTTAAGGGTGTTAGCATGTTGACAACCCCAGGAATTTACTCAATCCAATGGAAGATTGTCTATTAAGTAATATCTTTAGATGCGAATTTGCTATTTAAAATGGAGCCGACCAAGTGTTTCAACCTTCTTTGTTATCTTGTTCGCAGGTGACCAGGCTGTGTGATTTAGGGCCTAATGACAGTGTATGCTCCGTGCAATGGACCCGGGAACGCTCATACATATCAATTGGCACACATCTTGGTCAAGTTCAGGTAGCTCTAGCAGTCTAATTAGTCCCAAATCCTGCATTATTACGCGATTCATTTTGATTGATGATCTATTGTCGATGCTTTTTATAGGTGTGGGATGGAACACAGTGCAAGAGGGTCCGAACCATGGGCGGGCATCAAACAAGAACAAGTGTCTTGGCCTGGAACTCTAGGACACTAGCATCAGGAAGCAGGGACCGCAACATACTTCAGCATGATCTTCGAGTTTCTAGTGACCATGTTAGCAAACTTATCGGTCACAAATCTGAGGTAGAGTCGACTTGCATAAATGGTTCAGCTCAACAATTCCTGACTTCACACCCCCAAATTATATGGACTAAAATTACTTGCACAAATGGGAGTAAGAAGCCCTTCTAAATTCTTATCACTTTATCCAGGTATGTGGCTTAAAATGGTCTCATGATGACAGAGAACTTGCATCAGGTGGAAATGATAACCAGGTAAAAGATAACTTCATTTTTCTTGCTCACAATACAAATTTGTTTTCATTTCCTCATTACCTAACAAATGTTCTAGTGGTTAGGGCTGTCAGCGTATCAGATTTGTTTAATAAATAGATTCGGATAGAATCTATTTATGAATTCAAATCAAGTTTTCCAATTGTTGATCCCGATCTAGATCCTATCGGATTCGGATATTTGTCTCATTTAAAATCATGCTTTGATGATGTAAAATGAGTTTCAAGCACAGTACATTAATAAAGTATGTTATGATCCTATACAGAATGCTATTTCTTCAAAAAAAAATTTCAAAATATCTCACCAAATGATTCTAATAAAACTTTATATTAAAGGTCAAACCTTATTTAAATTAGGCAAGAAGTACAACAAACCTAAAAGAGAAAATAATAAAAATCCTAATGTTTTTCCAAAAAAAATCAAAATAGATAAAAATTCAGATTGTATCAAGACATAACAAATTAGAAACATAAGCATAATACTAGCAACAACTCATTAATTTTCTCATATGTTTATAGGATTTTCACAGAATTAATTTGAGACTTTAAAAAAGATGAATAAAAAATTATCGTGTGATTATTTAAATTTGCTTATGTTTTAAGAAGATTATATTTATTAGAGATAATATTAATATTAATTTTAGATCGAATTATTATCAGACTGGATCAAGGTAGATCGGCATATGATCTATCTAATAAACGGATTAACTAATTAAGATTATAATCACCCTTGAATCACAAAAATTACATACTAAATCTATTTAATCATATCACTAGCAATTACATACCAGTGGTTAGTCCCTTTTTGTTTGAGTGTGTGTTAATGTGTATCTCATCAAATCAATGTCCTGTTGGTGATCAGCTCTTGGTATGGAACCAGCACTCGCAGCTACCAGTTTTGACATTGACAGAACACACAGCTGCTGTCAAGGCCATTGCTTGGTCACCCCACCAGAGTGGTCTCCTTGCATCTGGAGGTGGAACTGCTGATCGATGTGTTCGCTTTTGGAACACCACCAATGGTCATCAGTTAAACCATGTTGACACAGGGAGCCAGGTTTATTTTTCTCTTCACCCTGCTTCATTTTCACTAGATTATGAAACCAAACTTCATAGAACAAAATTGCAGTTTCCTATAGCCCTCTTCTTACTGATTTTTCACTGGCTGACTGCAGGTCTGCAATCTAGCCTGGAGCAAGAATGTTAATGAACTCGTCAGCACTCATGGGTACTCTCAGAATCAAATCATGGTGTGGAAATATCCATCGTTATCCAAGGTATTAGCTAGAGCTATTAGTTAATTCTTTGTAGTTAATGGGTCTCATAGCTGGTCGCGCTAGTTCAAGATTTGCAAGATTCATCCGGTTAAAAATCCGTTCTCGGTTTGTGGTATAGGTTGCAACTCTAGTTGGTCATAGTATGCGAGTCCTCTATCTTGCCATGTCTCCTGATGGTCAGGTACTGCAATATCTCCTCCATTTCTAAACATTACTTGCAAAAATATATTTCAATTTTGTTTCTTTCTTCATGAGTACACTAGCTATTACAATTTTTGAAATATCGAAAAAATTTGTAACGTCTAAAACTCTGTCCATGCAGACAATAGTAACCGGAGCAGGGGATGAGACGTTGAGGTTTTGGAATGTCTTTCCATCTGTGAAAACGCAGGTAAGCAAGAGTGGTAGCAGAATCCATTTTACAGGTTGTTGTAACCTGCCTGCCTGAATCCGTATCTGCCTGCATCTGTATTAAGCATTTCTCTTTTACCCCGTTTGTGGTTGCAGACACCAGTGAAAGATACAGGACTTTGGTCATTAGGAAGAACCCAGATTCGGTGACAGCACGACGTAAACCTTAAGCTAAATTATATTATATTGTAAATGCATATACTTAAAATCCTGAGGCTGCCACTACGACGTGCAGGAAGGAGTTTGATCCCTTCCTTTTCTGCCCGAGTTTGAACCTTGACTGGTTTGCTAAATTATACTGTTGAGTGCGCACAGGATTTTGTATAGTGTACTTGTTTTTTTCCTACACACCTACATAGATTACAGTGTTGTGACGTCATTCTGAAAAAGAAAAGATCGTATAAAGCAATTCATACAAAGTCTGAATTTTATGGTTTTTTTCTTCCTGTTGTCTCTCATTTTAGTGATTGAAATTGATTACATCAAACTTAATAGCAAAAATGAAGCACTGTCAAGGAAGAAGAAAAGTTTTTATAAGCATGGCTCGTGGTAAAAGCTGAGGAATAGAGTTCCACTATGGCTCGTGGTAAAAGCTGAGGAATAGAGCTCCACTTTTCCTTTCACCAGCAAAAGCTCTCGATTCTGTTTTCCGATGTTAAAACCGAGAAACAAGAGAATAGAGTTCCACATTTCCTTTCACCAGCAAGCTCTTGATTCTATTCTGTTTTCCTGTGTTAAAACCAAGAAACAAGAGAAAAATCGCCCAACAAAGAAAAGTCTGCCTAAGACCGTAGACCTTGACAAATCAAATAAATCTCTCTCGATGAAGACCTCGTGGCCTTGGGCCTCAACCATGATGCCTTTCTGAAGAGTGGCTTGCAAATCCGGCTAAATTCTGCAAGGCAAACAGTTAAATGGAAGTAGGAAATATATTGTTACCACATCTACTGTTATCTGATCTAATCCATAAACATATTCCCACCTTTGTTATCCTCACTCTCTAGAAGCTTAATTACTAGGTGTCCACCTGGTTGCAATATACCATTATCATCTGCAGCGCGCACAGAATCATTTAACAGCCTGTCTGTTCTAATATCCTCATCAAGATGAGCTGTTGCTGCTCGACCAACAGCCAGACCAAGTGCTTGCATTCCTAACTCCGCAGATAAAGCCGCATCTCTAGTTGTGATACCAGAAACCAAGGGACACATGTCTGAGAGTACCACAGAAAAACCCTTCTGCTGCATAACACACAAATCAAACCCAAATCAGTAGATCCACAAAGACAGACAAGATACATGGAGAAAATTTTTGCTCTCAGAGAAACCAAGGTAAACCATAAAGTTGAAATTCAGGACAATTCACTTAGTTAAAGTAGTACCCGAGGAGAGAGTGCCCTAACTTGGTTTTTGGGGAGTTTCATAACATCAGCACAAACAGTTTGAACCCTTGAATCACAGTAACGAGGAGGGACTTTCACCTTCTGTTCTGCATATCCCCACATTTAAAATCAATCAAACGTGGTATGGTATAATTCACTTATCAAAGAAGCCCAACTTTAACCTCTTCGATTCCAAAAAAAAAAAAAAACAGTTTCAACACAATGACCAAAATCAAAACCTGAAATACAAAGAGCATGTGAAGAACACACCTTGAGATCAATACCCACAACAGCCCCACCATTCTTTACAGGACCCAAGCTCTGGCAAGCAACCTGCAATGATATTATTATGTCATATAAAAACACCAAGAACAACCTTAAACGAACAAAAAACATAGATGGTGTCCAAAACCCACAAAAGAAACGTTGAAATAACACTAAAAAGAAAGAGACGAGACCTGGAGCCAAGCACCAGGAGCGCAACCAAGGTCAAGAACAGAGGAACCTGGGGTTATCAACTTGTGTTGTTTTTGTATCTGAAGAAGCTGATTTATTGCAACAACAAGCAAGAAATTGCGTGCAAGTGAATTTGTAGAGAAAAGTGACATATAAAAGAAATGAATGGAGTGTTAAGTTTGGTAAGAAGGTATAAACCTTGAAAGCAGAGCGAGCTACATACCCAAGGCGTTGAGCTTCTCTGTAGAAGAAATCTGGTGTTCCTGCTCCACTCATTTTTCTCCCCAAAACCCTGCTTTCCTTTTGGGCGCAGACAAGGGTTTTTGTCAATTATTTAGAAATAAAATTTTAAACTCGTAAAAAAAATAATATATCCATTACATGGGCTGGTTATCAGAACCAGTTGTCAGACGCAGGTGTAGTAGTAGACTCTATATGTTTAGGCTCCCAGCCCACCTTTATATATTGGACAGATCCACTGGGCCTTTTTATTTTTTAATTTTAAAAAGTAACATGTATATGTATATAAAGTATAGCAGTGGTTGTTCTGTAAAATATTAAAATAATATTTATTTATTTATCAAAAACATTTTTTAATATTAATATATCAAAATTATTTAAAAATAAAAAATTTAATTTTAAATAAAAAATTTAAATTAAAAAAAATACAATTTCAAAGGCATTACAAACAAGAATTTCAAATGCTTTATTAACAAGTCTCAGTAGTCTTTTAACATGGCTTTGGAACCAATTTCTCTCTTCATCAAGGATAAGAATTTTTTTTTTTTTTTGTAGCGAAAATCAATTAATTTGGTACGGTTAAGAAGATAAGAAGAACAGATTTATGGTAGCTTGCATAACTAGGACTTGACTTCAGTCTTTACTCCACGGCGCAACACCTTCATCTCAGCTACGAACTAGTGTATTAAGGAGAACTTTTCTTTATGCCTTTACTTGAAGATGCATCGAATCGAGTTCTCATCAGAAGAACAAAAAAGATGTGTTGAACTGTAATTAAAATTTTAGAATTCTTTTCCATCCTGCAAAGCTACTCTGTTCCTTTCCAAACTAAGGAATTTGAACCTGAACTTCTGGTGGCTTGGCATTCCAACATTTGTATCCCTGAGCCTTTAGTTTTTGGTTGAGAGGACAATAACCACGACGGACTTATATCATAAGCAAAGAACACTGTAAAATCTATACAGGAGCAAGACCTACATATCTTCTTGATATATTATCAACAGAATATTATAGCAACGAACGTTACCATTTTTTGTTTGCGGAATTCTTGCATGAAGTCACTTTGTTTTACATCACTGCCAGATTGTTAAGTAAAAATTAAGTAATAATGTCTGCTACAACCGAACTCTCCGTAGTTGAATACTGAAGATCATGCATACACTGAATACTAAAAGTTAATTGATACCCTAAATAGCAAGTGCTCAGAAATTATCCCTTATCCCTTCCTACCTTTATACACACGGTATTGAGCTTTCCACCGAGATATATGATTTGACATTCTACTAGGCTGCAGCCTGCAGCATTTGTCTTATCATGTTAAGATTACATCATATTTTGCATGCTGGTAATGCATGGCATCTGGTATTATAGCAGTTGTAGCGCAGCAGGTCTTTGCTGGTATATAAATAATACGTACTATTACTAATAAGAGGTCGAGAAGAAGAGCAGATGACATAACAATGAGGCTTCGCAATGATTATACATAAACTTGAAAAGGAAATCAAACCACCACTCTTTTCCTTGCAGCAATCAGAAATTTGATAATCGTTTTACTTCTCTTCATGTCAAGATGCAAGGGCTTTCTTTTGCCTCTTTGGGGACTGAATCTAGCACCATAAACAACTGTGTATATCATCGTGTATGTCTTACAACGTGCATCATAGATTGCCGTAATGCGTCTCTTCATGCCGAAATGCATGAGATCAAGTAAACCCAAGATTTTGCAAATACATTCTATTATTCCCATTTATCAGGTCTTTAATAACATGAAATGGATGAATGGAACAATAATGCTGGGTTTACTTCGAAGTCCTTGTTAGCATGTGCATATTTAAAAATATTGCGTATAAAGTCAAAACTTCCTTAATGTACTGATGAAACTTCCCAAAGTAGAAGCTCTCTGCATAAATATTAGGAAAATCAGATTAAGAAATTCATGTTAACAGTTGACCTTTCATCCATTAAGTGGAGTAAACCCCTTTTCTTTTGTTTTTCGATTAAATTTATCTCCAATCATTCTCGTTTCCTACCCTTCCACATCAAGCTCATGTGAACTTCTCTGACAAGCAAGTGGTTTTCACTTGTGAATTGCAATAACAAACAGGGTGCTTTACTTCAACCCTACACCACTCCTCTTCGTGGTTGCATAAAAAACTACGAATGCCTCGAAAATGGAACAAAGTGAATGCAAATAGGCTGTAGTTGATGGTTACATTTGATTGGGTCAACTGATAGATGTGGACTGATTCAACTAGGCAGAAAACAACTGCTAAGCAACAGACAACGATGCATGCATTTTTTAACTCGGGTGCTGATTTTATGCTGTGGAACTTTATTAAAGATATGCTCAAATATCTGGGAAACGGGAAGGCATGAGTTAATAGGGGTCATTTCATAAGACTTTTGCTAAATTAGGCTAACATGGATCTGGTCAGATGAATCAGTATGCATTTCTGTAGATGATGGGGTGAAACTGCAATACAACATCTTATACAACAAAAACCGAGAACAAGAGTATTCTTGGTAGCAATTTCATTATTATATTTAGTGGTGTGAAAATGCCACACTTAAGAAGAGAAGATGCACAGGGATCACTGTAACTACAGAACCAAGATTGCTGCTTGAACATAAAAAAATGTCCGAGCTCAAGAAGAACCTGAGCATTAATGCATAAACATTATCTTCTTCGATTGCAGAGACTCCTAAAAATCATCATGACTTCCACAACCCACTAGCGCTCACTTGAACATCATCACTACTTACAGATATCTTTCATTTAATTATGACACTTAACTAGAGTTCAGGTGGTTTTTTGTTAAGTTTTGCCCTTCTCACTTGTGATATAAGAGAGTGCTTGAACATCATCCACCAAGATATAGACCATTCTCACTTGTAGTATAAGAAATGTCAGCCATCATGCAATGTATGATTTAAGTTTTTCCTGATAAATTGATGAATTTGCTGCTATCTGAACATTGGGCATCTAACAGAATCGTGGTAAGCAGCAACCAAAACTCTACTCCCACCATCCCTGCCCGGCAAATAAGTAAAATCATTATCAATTTCCTTTCAAGTTCACTTCCATTCCTGGGTTGCTAATGGCGAGGTGATGAAAAGAAAAATAAGATTTTGTTTTTAATGGGAAAATGCCAGAACCTTAATTAACAAAGTTGATATGCACAAGGGCACGATGTCAGCGACATGGAGGAGATTCGTGTCACACTTCCTGTCCACAAGTAAATCTCAAAGCGTCATTAAGAATCAGGCTTCCAAGAAGAGAGTGCATAAACAATCCGACCCTTCCACCCTTGGAGCAACCACTGGCTATATTCATCGATTACAAAATCCTTGTGATACAGAGCTTGCACCCTCTCCTTTGCTGTAGTAAAAATCTCCCGATTCACAGGGAGCTGCATGAACCCAGCCCTTTGAATCCGCATTTGCCACTGCTTGTATGTCTCTGGCCTCTCGATCCTCTCTGCACCCTCACATGCAATGACATTCATTGCCTCCCACCCAAAAATATCTCTCTCAAAAAGAACCCTCTCTGGAACCTCACGAGGCACATTAGCCTCCAGCATATCAAACAAAGTAGAGAAGTGGAAGAGGGCCTCTCGGAAGCGTGTGATAAAGAATGGAGCACTGTAGGCTCCATTCACAGCTCCATGTATGAAAACATCTGGATTCATTTTCCTGATCAAATTGAGAACAGTATCTCTGGGACTCTCCACCACCACAGTCTCATCAAGCAAGTTTCTTAATCTAAACAGAGAGTTCACAACAAGCACCTCATTTCTATCAATCTTGAGGTCCTCAATTTGAATGGTGTCCCACTTTTGTGCTATAGCATTGAACTCGAATGGAACCTTGAAAGTATTCGCATAATTTTCTAAGCGGCGTCCTGTCTCCTCAACCCTTTCTGCTGGTCGGAAACCTGGATTTGGGAGATCAATCCCAGTAATCCGCAGCTTGGGAGGTCCTCCAGGTCTGGATGAGAGACGCTGAATAAGGCAGGGCCATTGGAAACCATACATAATTCCAAAATCAACAATGTGAACCCTCGTTGCATTCTCAGCTATATTCTTAATTGTTATATTTGAGAAGAAATTAGACAGCTTCCTAAATGGACAAGCAGTAAGTATCATATGGTAAGCTTTCAAAACATCGGCAGCTGATGTCGGCCTGGAAATAAGTGCTTTGTAAATCTGGGTTCCTGAGCCAGCTAAACGTGCCTCGAGACCATCAGCAAAAACGTTGGCTAGTCTCTGCATTGCATCCCCTGTTGGTGGAGCATTCTGTCTGATTTGCTTCAGCAGGTCAATTGCACTCCTCCGGTTATCTGTTGCAACAGCCTCTGCACAAAGGGTCAAGAGAGTTCTCAAATCCACCACATTCCTCTTACCTCCCTGCCTCTTACCTCGAGCTTTTCCTCCTTTTGCTTGTCCATTATGCTGCGCCATCTTGCTTTCCCCATTATGCAAGGCCGCTCGAATGGAAGATTCATCTCTTCCACAGTTGAGCAATACCATGTCAAAATCTGCTGGACTTGCAGTTGATTCAGAATAAACTGCAGACTGCTTGTTACTCCTAAATCCCTCTAGAGCCAACTCCTCAAGATGAGGACTCTTCTTTCTCCTCAAACCATCCGTGTAGTTCTCATTTTCATTCTTTTCCTCTGTCATAGCTAACACATCCTTGGCATCTTCCTTCGGGTGTTTTAGAAACAGACCATTACTCTCCAAATCAGTGAACAGATCGCCGTTTGGAATGAACTTACTCGCCTCCTCAAACCCTTTCTTAAACTGCATAACAGACTCACTCTCCCTAAATATCTCAGCAACCATATTAGGACCCACTGGAGAGTCAACAGATCCATCAACAGTAACAGTACTGTTACCTGAACTATAGGATGACCGGGGAGTAAACTGAGAAGCACGTCTCGAGAACTTGTACTCCCCAAGATCAACCAACTTACTGCCACTACTGCGGCTTGTACTGCTTGTATAATTACTGCAATTCAAATCATGATTTTTTTCTGGGCTTTCACGCGTTTGATCAAAACGAGGTACCGGGTATTTGGGTGAAGAAG